GTATTCGTCGATCAATTCTAGTAATAATTAATATATGAAACAAAATTAGTTGATCCTTTAAGTAATGTTCAAAATATCATATGAAATATGAATAAGAATTAATTAATATTTAAGGAAGATGATTAACGAAATTAATCCACAGCTTACAAATCATTAAGCTTCAACGTAGCAAAACCAAGATGGAAGAGTTTAGCTTCTCATTTGGAGACTAAACATGCTAAAAATATAAAGTCCTTGACTAAACCGAGCTTAGAAGTACAGGGGAATTGATAATTTTATTGTGAAGGAAAAGGAGTGTATTTATAGCAAATTGGAAGTGGCAGGGTATTGTACCCGACCGAGTATATACGGTACCCGATCGGGTACCAAAGGCAACTTCCAGGAAATTGTGAAATATAGGCATACCCAACCGGGTATGTCGGTCTACCCGATCGGGTATGAGACCAGATTTCCACGTTCTTTTGCTCCCAGATTTGATTTTGACTAGCGTATCTGGTCAATACCCGACTGAGTATTGGGCAAATACTCGACCGGGTACATGAACGAATTTCAAAATCTCTATTTGATCTTCTCCCTTTTGCACATTCTTTGGTCTTTAGAATCCATCCTTTGATCCTTTAGATGATTAAGATGTGTCCTAAACTCAGAATAATCTTAATCTAAATAAATTACAAATATGTTTACAAACTGAAGTATTACACTAAAAGTGTGTAATTTCCAAAATAAAAAACAACAAAACTAATTAAAAACACAAACATACACATGGAAATTACAAGAGTATCATCAGTTGTTTAACTTGCAGTCCAAGAAAGAAATTCATTTCATCCATCATGCTCAATTCAAACTTCGAATGCATTAGACTTCCAAATGCAGTGCAGAGAGCGGAATCAGTGGAACAAAAAATGACGTCATCAACGTAGATCTGAACCAAGATGATGTCAGACTCATGACGCTTGATGAAGAGTGTAGTATCATCTGTTCCTTTTGAGAAACCAGTATCAACCAGGAAATCATAAAATTCCTCATACCAAGCTCTCAGTGCTTGTTTGAGTCCATATAAGGCTTTATCCAGACGATAGACATGATCGAGATATTTCTCACTAATAAATCCTTCTGGTTAATCAACGTAGACTTCCTCTTTCAAATTCCGTTCAAGAATGCGGTTTTGACGTCCATTTGACAGATGGTGAAGTTCTTGTGTGCAACATAAGCCATGAACAGTCGAATGGCTTCAGGAATAATCCCACCTTTGCACCACATCTTCATTCGTTGGTCCCTGACCGGTTGATAACCTGCTATTCCAAGTTATTTTCTTATCTTTGCAAAACATTATACCATAAATCTCACCTTTCACGAATCTTCTTCGAGCGGTCTGACCAGGCCTGGTCCTGAGATTTTGAGGACCCGGGACAAATTAAAAAAATGGGCCCTCAAATTATAAAGCACAAAACTAAATTCCATTATAAAAGTAAAGTTGATTACATCAAGCATGAGATACTTCATAGTTCATGCAAAAAAAATACAAAAAACAATTTCGTCGAGCGTTCTTAGATGCAAAATCATCTATGATAGAATCTAGATCAATATCATCCAACATCTCCTTCTCTATACATAAAATCGCCAAGTCATTCAAACTTTCTTGAGACATTGAAGATCTCAAATATGTCTTCAATAATTTTAACTTCTAAAAGCTCCTCTCTGCCGATGCAACAGTCTGAACGGAGATAAATTTTAAATTTGTAAGTATACTCTATGGACTATGAACATAGTTGGTGAAAAAAATTAAAGTGAGATTTGAAGTGGCAATATAATGTAAGCCTATAACAAAAAAGAAGAACATAGATAATTACTAGAAATTGCAGCAATTCGCCAAAACCAATTGCTAATTGATTACAATAATAATGACTATTATAATCATAACATTTGAAAAGGTTTCGAGTGGAAGAACGAACAAACCTAGTAGCCATGGATGATTTCAGTAATCCATCACAAGTCAGAGACTCAGTCTCACAGTCGGGTCAAGCGGCAAAGAAGAGAAACAAGGAGATAGTCTAAGAGAGAATTGCTGAATTTGGATTATAGGATTATTTGGATGCCGGATTCTTTGGGTATTACCAGACATATAAATAAACAAGAAGTACATATTACCGTTTCAATGGAAGTAGGATCGACGGAGAGAATGAGCGGTGATCGATGGTGTTAAAATCGAAGAGATGCAAGCGGTTCGCCTTTGTCGGCTAAATTGGCTATGACCATTGATTAAGTGGAGTATTCTCATTAATATTATAAAAATAATAATAACATATATATATATATATATATATATATTATATATAATATATATATATATATATATATATATATATATATATATATATATATATATATATATATATATGTTAAATAACATATATAATAACATCCAGAACCGGCCTTGGGTCTGACCTATCATTTTTCTTTTTCCTCCCTAAGTCTTTTCCCTTTTTATTTTTATCGTCTTGACTCTTTATTCCCCTTTTTGGTCTTCTTATTCTTATTTTTATTTCTTTTCAATTTTGATTTTATTTTTTTCAATGTTTAGGTATTCCATTTCCCTTCTTTTTCTTCTTCCCTTTTATCATTTAATTTTTATATATTTTTCGGATTAATTTCCTTCTTATAAAATATCTTTTTCTCATTGTATTAACTTTTTACTTTAGTATCTTTTACTTACACTTATTTATTTATTTTTTTCATTTTCTTACATTATTGATTCCACAACTAATATATTTTTGAGAAAATAGCCCCCAAATAGGACTAAACTAATCCCTAAATGCACAAATAAGACTATGTTATTTATCTTCCCAAAATAGTAATAAAGTACATTCTGTCTTCTTATTCTACATTTCTACTCTTACCATAACTTACTAGGATAATTATATTTTACATTATAATAAAAAAGGAAAAATAATAAAAAATATTTCATTTTTTAAAAATATAATTAAAATATAAAAAAGTTAAAAGAATTTTTAAAAAATAATAAAATACTCCGTAATAAATAGTAATAAAAATTATTTTTAAAAAAACTTTAAAAATAAATAAAAATAGTTAAAACACATTAAAAATATAAAAAAATTGGAGGTCTTTCCCGCATCCTTGACATCCTCCAAGCAATGCCGACTCGTTCGGTGAAAAGAATGTCATTTTGTGTAAACACTGCAATTTTCTCTCTGAAAATGCCATGAATATGACATTTTTATTCTTTGAAAATGTCAAAATTTTCTCTCAAAAACTGCAATCAAGATAACATTACTGGCACATGTTGGCATTTTTTCCGATGATCGGATCTGGTGGTGTTGGGACTAGGGATGGACCCGGGCCGGTCCGGTTCCAGTTCCGGGCCGGGCCCGGGCGGGCTTTTTTTGCAAAATGTTGGGCCCGGAACCGGCCCGGGTTGATATCGGGTTCGAGCCTAACCGGGCTGGGGCGGGCCGGGGCCGGGTCAAGTTCAATTTTTTTTGGCTTCTAATTAACACCCGACCCCCCCCCCCCCCCTTCATCCCCATCCCCCAACTTGGGAGGTTGTTGAAGCGGCAACAAATGCCTGCATATGTTTTTTAACTTTTCTTATTTTTTTATTTTAAGTTTTTGAGTTCCTAATTTTATACGGAGTAATTTTTAGTTTTCTAATGTTTTAGTTTTATTGATTTTATTTAATATTTGTTTTTGTGTTTTTTTTATGTTTCTACATTTTTATTATAAATATGGTTATGTTATTAATTTTATGTTTTAATTTTTAATGAAATATGGATTGTACTAAAACAAAGCAAAGATAGAATTCGAAAGCTAGTCCTATATAGGGAATTTTGAAATTATACTCATATTCTCGCAATTAAAGTTTCATTAAAATAATACTATTTGAGGAATGCCCCCTATACTTTTCTATTTTCTAAAAAATAAAAATAAAAATAAAAAAAAGGAATACATAAAACATAAAAAATAAAAAGTAGCCCAAAAAAAATTATAAAATGAGACTACAACGAATAGGAATACATAAAAAGGAAAGAAAATTTTAGAAAGAAAAATTAAAATCATATGTGCGACCATTTTGATTTTTAAGAATATATGTAGAAGATGAGATTTTTAATTTAATGATTTCCAAAGAAAATGAAAAAACCTTGAATAACAGGTCATCAACCGGTCAAGACCATCGAATAAAAATGAGATGCAAAAGTTGAATTATTCCTAAATAACGCAAATATGAAACTATTGTAAGAAAACCGCTAAAATGTTGGATTATTAATTTCCATTTTCCCTAAATAATACTTCCTCCGTCCCGCGAACAATGAGACAAGAGAGAGTGACACACAAATTAATAAAAAATGGTTTATGTGATTAATATTTAATTGATAAAGTAAGAATAAAGTAAAGATGATTTAGAGCCATACCAACTTTTGCATTAAACTTTTAAATAAAAAATACTACCTCCGTTCCTATTTTATCTTCCAACCCACTTTGGCGAACAATTTAAGAAAAGTGGGTATTGTGTGGTGGAGAGTTGTGCAGAGGAGAGAGAAATGTGTAAGAAATGTTGTGAACCACAAATTCTTTACCAAAAAGGGAAAGTGAAAATTTAATTGGAACGGACGAAAAAGGAAAGTTGGAAGTTTATTTAGGAAGGGAGTATCAAAATAACTCTTCTTTGGAACCTGATTCCTACACGTGGGCCACACAGAGCACCTCTCCGTTGGAAATCCCTCCGCCGGTGGGTAATCCCGCACTGTCGACTCAGACGCCGTCATATCTCCGTAATCGTCCCCTTTCTGCACAAGAGTAAAATGTTTGTTCTTACTAGTCCACCGCCTCTCTGTTGTATGTTATAAAGCAAAAAGCTTCACGAAAAGGAAACCGCCCCTTTCCTTTACACTCACCTTTGATGTCCCGGCAATCTTACGAGCTACCTACGAATTGAATCTCAGGGTTTCTTTTTAGTTGTTCATCACTTCATTGTGCTTCGATGGCTATGAGAGGGGTCGATTTCAAGTGGTAAGTTCTTTAAATCTGTTTCTCCCACTACATAATCCTACTTTTGCTTTATACGTACTTGTTTAAGAATCTTGGGAATAATTTGATTTCTATTTGCCGGCAGGTATGATGGGTTTTTCTTGTCAATGCTGGCTACGAGTGTGTATCCTTTGGATATTGGGACTCGGGATTTTGTGAACTCACATATTTATGGTTCAAGTCTTGTTTCCCCCTGAATTATGGTTTGATAAGCGTCTTTTGTAAAGCAGTTATTGTTTTGTTTCATGAACTCATAAGTTTTTGGATTCTCTTAACTGTCACGATTAGAATTATAGTGGGGGTTAATTGGAAGAGGTATCATTCTTGTATATACCCCTTGCACATATGGATTGTGGTAGGTACCCTGAGATATCTTGGTGACTCGTGCCAAATACAAAAACATTACAACTTGATTTTTCCAAAGCGGCATCTGTTTACTTATTTATGCTTTTGGTTCAGGTTGACTACATGACTGTGTTTATCTTTCGGCTCTTGATGTTTGTGGATAATGGCCTTGCTGCTGGAATGGGTTTGTAAGGACTCAATTTTTGAATTCTAGGCTACTTTTTATTTTTCTGTGCGGAGCATTTGGTCTACATTTGAATTGTTACTTTTCAAGTTTATCAGTAATCTGGAACTTTTTGTTAGTTAGGTCAATGGAAGCATTATTTGTTGCACTTCAATATTTATGTGGTTAGAAATTATATGTGTAACGCCCATTGGAAATCGTAGATGAGTTCTTGTGTTTTTTGCCTGTACTAGGGATTTTGGCTGGCAGCAGAGACAGGCCCGCTTTTGTGGGAGAATAGTTGTCCTTACCATCATAGCTCTGCTACTTTATCCCTTTCTTTGGGTTTGGACCATAATTGGTTCTCTATGGTTCAATAATGCAAGAAATTGTGTAAGTTGCATCAGTCGTCTCCATTTATTTGTCTACTACCCTCCTTGCCACTTTAAGCTTATAGTGGAAATGAATTCAATTCATTCAGCTTCCCGAAGAAGGCCAGAAATGGGGTTTTCTGATTTGGTTGCTTTTCAGCTATTGTGGGCTTGTCTGTATAGCTTGCCTATGTACAGGGAAGGTTAGTTTTTATTCCTTCCTCATTGTTCGAATTATATTCATTCACCATTCCAACTGTATAGGCTTCATGCGCTTCTGCGCCTAAGCCATCTGCGTGTGGCTCCCCTTCTCCCAAGCGCTAAAGGCCCTACCTGTTGTGCTTAGGGCGCTTGAGCGATGAGGCATATGCTTTTGACTACATTGAGTGTGACCGAGATGCGCACGCTACTTTGGATGTGTGGACATACTAGAAAAGACCTCTTAAGAAATGAGACAATCAGACAAAAGGTGGGATTAACACATTTTGAAGATAAGATGAAGGAGTCTCGATTGCGTTGGTTTGGTCATTGCATAGAAAACCGACTGATGCACGTGTTAGACGAGTTGAGAGGTGTGGAGAAGAGGCGGTGAGGATATGGAGAGAAAGACCCAAACATATGTAGATTAGAGGAGTCAAGAGTGATATGATTCTTCTTGGGTAGGATTAGGGTTGTTTTTCTGTCTTATGTTTTTTATCCTTTGGTGGGGATAATCTACACTTCATGGAGAACATGCCCACAAAATTCATCAAAATATTCGACCCTAAAGAACACTCTCCTATATAAATAAGGAAAAAGTACAAATATACCCATGTAGTATGGGTGTGAGAACAAATATACCCCTGTTCTATTTTTTGGAACAAATATACCCCTCAAGTATATGTCGAAGTGCATATATACCCCTGAACTTTTAAAAAGTGCAAAATTACCCCTCATGTTCTTATAAAGGTGCAAATTTACCCTTATTAACATTAAAATAGATGAAATGAATTTCAAAAAATGCCAAAAATAAAATATAAATTCAAAATTTAAAAATATAGATGTATTATTATGTTAAAATATTAACTCTTTAATTTTAAATTGCAAAATAATTTTTTCCCCTTTGTAAACAAAGCACTTCAAATTTATAAATATTTATTTTAGTCGTGTCGTGAAATTTTGAACACATTGTTACATTTTTTGAAATAACGTTCTTTGACTTTGTTTACCCTTAATAAAATTAAATTCACTATTTTTCATACAAAATATGTAATTTGTAGTGCAAAGAATGCTATTTTTTTACATTGAAACACATATTTTAACACTTTTTTGAAAGAATCTAAATATATAGTAAAGTTTTGAAACAATATTTTATACTAAAAACATTAAATTGTGATATAAAAACAATAAAAGGGAGAATTGGACACAAGTACATTTTAAATTTTTTTAATTTTAAAATTTGATTTTGTAATTTATTTTTGGTGTTTTTTGAAATTTATTTTATCAATTAATATTTAAAGTCAATAATGGTAAATTTGCTCCTCGATAAGAACATGAGAGGTATTTTTTCATTTTTTTAAAAGTTCAGGGGTATGTATGTCAATGTTCGTAATTGCATATTGCGTAATCATGGCGGTTTTTTAGAATTGCATATTGCGTAAACCTCATTGCGCAATGAGGCGTATAGCTGAGGCGTAAAGTCGTAAATATAATTAAACAAATAAATGTATATATATATATATGTATATGTATATATCAAAAAACATTATTCAATAGAAAACAACAAATGCAATATCAAAACAAATCAAGTGCAATATCAAAACAAATCAAATGCAATATCAAAACAAATCTTAGGAAAAATAATCCTGAATAATAGCAAAAAATAATCCTGAATAATAGCAAAAAATAATCCTAAACATATTAGATTGATGATTGAAAAATCGAATCATCACTATCTAGTGGTCTAAAATAAGGATCATAACCACCAACGTTTCCTTCATCCTCATCCTTATCAAGGTCAAAATCGAAATCAGTATCATCACCATACAATTCTTCATCTTCATCGATCAAGTGCATTTTTCCCTTTCCTTTATCAAGACGCTTTCTTTTTTGACCTTGACTATTTCCTCTCAACCGTCCTTTTTCGCGGCCCTTTCCACCGCCACGAACAAGTTCTTGACTTGAAGAACGTGCAACACTAGCTTCACCATCACAATCATCTTCACGAGCAACATCATCAGGATTTGTCTCATCTTCATCAATCACCCATTCGTCATATGATAGAATCTCATCCATCACTAAAGGATCAATGTCTTCTTTAAGTGATGTTTTTCTCATCCACTTTGTCTTTAGTCTCTTGTTATACATCACAACACCAACTTGTTCAAATTATGTGTATGCAAACGGTTCATTCTCTTGGTATGTATCTACAAACATATTAGTTAAACTTTATTATTTACTTAATTAACTGATATTTTATAATAATAATTTATACAATGATTTAATACCTGATTAAACGTGCTCCAATTGCGCTCACAAGCAGACGATGAACACGTAAGACTCAACACCCTCACAGCAAAAGCCATTAATTCAGGTGTTTGATCCCCATATTGACACCACCAGTCCACTACAGTAACATAATTAAAATTATTACTTTGTAATAAAAAATTAAAGTAAAAAATTATTAATAAACTTTTCATACCAGGACTACGTTTATCAACCGTGCTTTTTGCTACATCATGGCCGAAGAATCCCCTTTTCAAACGATAATCATCCATCTGCAAATGTATCTTCTCCCGAACTTCCCGGTCCGGAAACATTTTTGCCACACAATTAAACAAACCAAGTTTAATCTCTGGATGATTGAATATATAATTTACTATGAAGGATGTTTACATTAGGTTTAGAAATTGGTTATTTAAGAGCATTTGGGGAAACGGTTACCCGTGGATAAATCAATTCCCCGTTAGGGCGGGTACGGTTCAAATAAATTACCCAAACGGGTAATGTGGCAATTTCGGGGCACACATTTATCCAACGGGGCGGTTTCGGTTTTATGTGTACCCGTCCCCGATCCGCCCCGTTGCCATCCCTAGTTACGCCTCTCATCGTGAACTCCCTGAAATTCTTAAAGGCATGCCTCAAGGCGTAATTGCATTGTGCAATATCAAACAATGAGAAAAAGACAGAATCTTCTGCTCCTATTATTTATATTTTTACTATTGTTGTTGATATGATTGGGATTATTATATAGCCTGATCTGTTGCTTGTGGATATATGGGCACCAGACAGGTTTTGACTTCATCTTGAATACCTATTTATATTTACAGTTCTTGGCAAGAAGACAAGCACACTTGTTACGTGATCAACATGGTCCATCTTTTTCAGAATTTGGGGTATGCTTTAAATTGCAATTTTCAGCAATACCTTTTGTGCATTAGGTTGTTGTAGTTTTGTTTCTCCAAATCTCAAATGCTTTTACCAATAAGCCTCCTGTCATTTTTTCTCTAATAGGCTTCCCCCAAATTTCCATGGATGTGCACATGTAGTGCCATAGTTAAAAGCTTGTTTTGCTTGAGCTGTATTAACATTTTGTGTTAGTGTCTTAGCATAATGAAATAACCATAGTGAAGTTGATATGAAACAATTGTGGTATTCATGATAGTGAATCATACTAAATTGCAGTCGAGGAATGAACCAAATATTTGAGGGTAAAAAGTCATGGGCAATTAGAGTTAGCTATGATTTACAAAGGAAAGCTCCTATCCTATGTACCCTTAATTAGAGTAGTAGCAAATTCACAATAGTAGCAACACCTGGAAAGACATGGCAGAATGACTCAAGCTCAACGCGGCAGTGCGACAGTCCATGGTAAAGATCTCCCAGAGAGAAACCCAGAATTAGGAATGACCCGGAGACGTGGAAATGTGTGATCTGGAAGACATCACCCACTTTCCCAGGAACATTCATCACAGGATATACCCATGTGTGAAAGTGAACCGGGATCAACTACAAAAACACAGTTCCACAGACTGTATTGGTCATCTCCTGCGAACTCTTTGTTCTGTTATGCACCTCTACAGTCTCCAGATCCATATTTGTAATCCTGTTAACTGCCAGATCTAGCCTAGTCTGAAAGGGATTGCACTCAGGCCGAGTCACATGGGCAGATCTGACACTTTACTATTCTAGAATGCAGGCGAAGAATAAAAGCTCTGTTTCTGATCGTCAACAGATTTCTTTCCCTGAGAATATTCTAAGAACCTGGCTAGTGTTCTCTTAATCGAATACAGGATGTGGATCAACTCGGTCTTGCATCATTTGGGATTACCTCTGAAAGAACCGGATAAACAAGACATAGGGCAAAGGGGCAGAGCGTGAAAGAAAGACTCACTATTGCTGTTACAGTTGTCAGAAAGGAACCACGTTAGACGTGGCTGAAGTTGGCCAAAGCGTGTAGTGATGAATAATAGCAGTAGGAAGAAAGATAGGGTTACGTGACACTGTTCTTCTAGTTAAAAGAGACCCACTTTTCTAGGGGGTGACCCACTTTTTCTGAAACAATGGGGTGTGTGTTAGGATTCAGACCTAATCACCCTGATTCAAGAAACTAGCGATGAAGAAAAGAGAGGCGTAACAATAGAAAGCTTCGTATAACAGAAAATAGAGAGAAATACAATGGCAGTTTAAAGAGAGCCACTCTCCAAGTCCCAGCCCAAATGAAACAATACCAACCTCCCTTTTCTATTCTCCCTCACCCTCTATTTATACTCACTATTCTAATAATATTATTATTCTTATTTATTACTCCCTCCGTCCCGCTAGAAGGTTCCCGTGAACGGATTACGATGCTTGACTGATGATAAAGCTACTTAATCCCTGTTCAAACACTGATTATTTTTAGTAAATAAAATTAACATATTCAGAAACTACATTAAAACCGCTACAAAGCCTGATAAAAAAATGTAAATTTGGTAAAAGTTTGATTTATGAAGTAAAAGATTAAAAATGATTTAAGTTGACCATGAGAATAGTGGACGGGAACCTTCTAATGGGACAGAGGGAGTATTATTATTATTATCAGTGCTATTCTACCGGAGTCCTATCATATCTCCCCCCTTGAACATCCACCTTGTCCTCAAGGTGGGTGATTGGAAACCGACTTGATCTTCAACTTTATCTTCATCCTGGCGCCTCTCCCTTCCCAGTACCTTACTGATTGTGGGACCCTGAACTTCATTGCCCGGAGAACACACTGATTGTTGGGATCTTTGTAATTGTTTTGATCTTTCTCTTCAATTTCCTTCTTTAGATGATGTACTGGCTGGCATAGTTCTATTAAGCACAAAGCAAGTTCTTCCCTATTTTCACATGAGGTTTCACCTTCCCATTTCTCAGTATTTTGATGAATACCCAAAGATGCCTGGCAGCTTACAAACACCACAGCCAATTTAGATCCTGATGCCATGTACTGCCGGATGCATACTGGGGAATTGGCAAGTGAAGAGAGAACTGCACATTGATACCCATCAACACTTGGGAAAAAGGAAACTTCAGTGTTGGTTTCATTGATCAAGTGTAATGTTGTTTTCTCAGGGCCAGAGCTAAGCCTCTCCATCCATCTCTTATTACTAATTGTTCTCAACATTCTGTCACATTCTTGATCCTTGTCTCTTTTCCTGAGAACCTTGAGTCGTGGACCAGCACTTGCCATATGAAATCTGTAATGAAAATCTAAACCTCTATCTTGAACGATTATACAAACTAATGGCAGTCCCATAACCACTTCACCAACTTTAATGGCCTCAGAGGAATGACCAGGAGTGAGATCTTTAACAAACATCAGATACATGACAACTTCAACACATGTAACATATCTCTCATATTCTGTAATATTCCCAGTAATTCCTCCTTCCAACCCATTTTGAGTGTCCATCATAGAAGTAACATCCTCATATATGAAACTATCAAACTTGTTCAATGACTTCAACCCTTCCAAAGTAATGTTTAATGAATGATAATACACCATTTCAGACTTTAAAACAGTAGGCCCGTTCGTCTCCTGTACGAACCTAGAAGTCATCGTGGACTTTGCCACACAAGCATCAGTGTCACATGCCTGCAGAATCTTGAAAATATTGGTTCTCGAATCTGACTTGACAGACTTGTGCCAATTGTGAGAACTTCTGGTCCAATGTTCACTGACAAATTTTCCTCGCTTCCCTCATCACCCTCAGTGACTTTCTCTGCCCTAGGTGATGAAGAATAGGCTCGTAAAGAATTCTGAGAACTGGAAACATCTACTCCAGATGAAGCTTGCAAACTGGAAAAAAATGTTGGCGATGAATCCTGCAAAAAACTGAGTGTAGCTGTTTGTGAGGAAGATGGTGAACAGTAAGAAGCGATGGTTGATGAATATGAGTGGTAAAGATCGGCGAGTGAGGAATCCATCGAACTTGGAAAATCTCCCATCGATTGCGTCGCACTTTGACGGGAATTGAGAGCTGATGAAGGATTCTGGGAAAAAATCTGAGAAGAAACCTGCGAACTGGGAGGAACTGTTCGCATCTGCGAACTGGAAGGAACTGTTCGCAACTGCGAACTGCGCTCTTGTGCTTGCGACGATGCGGACGGACTGCGATAAGAAGTTTGCGACCAATCCTGCGAACTCAAAGAAACGGTTCGCGACTGCGAACTGTGAGACGAAGTTCGCAACTTACCTCTGGCATCAGACGATGCAGGATTCTCATGTACAGTGTATCGCCTTGAAGTTCTTGATTTTCTTCGTTCATGTCGAGCGTTCTGCTGCAGGATCAATTCGCGCAATTCCGCGAAATCTTTCCGCCTTTCATTCCGCCAGTTCCGCATCTCCTTGCAATGGTTCCGCATCTCCTCGCGATAACTTTCTAAATTGCGCTCCAGGATCTCCAGTCTATTTTCCATCGTTCCTTGAGTAGTTGATGCTCTGATGCCAATGTTAGGATTCAGACCTAATCACCCTGATTCAAGAAACTAGCGATGAAGAAAAGAGAGGTGTAACAATAGAAAGCTTCGTATAACAGAAAATAGAGAGAAGTACAATGGCAGTTTAAAGAGAGCCACTCTCCAAGTCCCAGCCCAAATTAAACAATACCAACCTCCCTTTTCTATTCTCCCTCACCCTCTATTTATACTCACTATTCTAATATTATTATTATTCTTATTTATTATTATTATCAGTGCTATTCTACCGGAGTCCTATCAGTGTGAGTAATATCGCGAGAACCCCGGGTCAATAATGTTTTCCCTATAATTTAAAATTTATGCCAAATATATCTCATATGTGTTCATCAGTACAAAATAAAAAACATATTCATTACGTGATGTGTCTTGTATGATATTGATTTGATTTCGTTCTTCCCCCTTCCCTACCTCTATTTCATTTAATTGTAAATGCGGGTATAGAATTAATGGATATATTATATATGCATTGCAGGGTATTGGTGGCTTGTTTGTGCATCGTAACTTTTGACATAAATCCCAGAAAACATAAAAAACACCTGACTGGCCAAAACTTTTACATACTGTTAAAAACTTCAGCACATTCAGTTATCTATGTAGAAGTACGGATATCGTTAAAGGTGTTATGTATTTGAGTAATAAATAGAAACTGCCAGACATTTTTTACTTACCTCTGGCCAAATAAATATGTTATGATCTTCAACATATGGCTTGAAGTGATTTTGTTTAATCTTGCTTCTTAATTACACGTTCCTCTTAATTAAAACTTGGAAAAGCATTATTTTTTGAAGTTGCAGCTTGAAAAAGTCCTAACTCTTTGAGCTGAGAAGGGCCTGTGGTAATTGAAACTTCAATGGATTATGGCTATAGAAAATTCACTCTTGTGTTTTTGTTGAAAATGAGCTTTCTAAGATCCAAGTCAACTAGCAAAAGGGCTTGAGAAGGACATTAGTGGATTACTCTGTCCATTCCAAATCAGAGTCTGATAGAGAGTTGCTACACAACAGAGTCTTATTTGTCTAATGCGCACCTATTTAATTTTAGCAAGCTACAATGGTTAAAATTCATGATATCCTTCTTATATTTTTTTAAAACTTTTTTTTTGGTTTGAAGTTCTCATATTTAACTTGCACCTAACCTTTTTTGGCAAATCATGTGAAGAGCTAGCTTCCTTCGAGGAAATATGAATCTTTTTTGGACAAAATGCTTTTGAAACATGGCATTTTTTGTGAATGGGGTAGCACTATGTATTTTTTTTAACCTCTACCTGTATGAATGGACAATGATCACTTCAAACTTACCATACTTGGTTTTCTGAGACATTTATCTTCATTTCAGGTGTTGGTTGACATGATTCGGGTGCCAGAATGGGCATTTGATGTTGGTCAAGAAATGAGGGGGATGGGCCAAGATGCTACTGCATATCATCCTGGACTTTACTTGACTCCAGCTCAGGTAATATCAAATATAACCTTTACTATCAAGTATCAATAGGGAGGGGGGATATGCTTGTAATTAGTGCCTACTTTTCACATCTTCTTTAGTCCTCAATCTGTGTTTAATTGTTTTTTAATTAAAATAAGGGAATTCTAGTCGCTTATGATAAGGGGTTTTCCTTTAAATATGACTAAATTCAAGTCAATTTCCAAAAAGTGACCATTTTTACATATGGACAAAAATATGACTAACAAGGTCATATTTTTGGAAAAACATGATCTCACAAAAAAATCATGTTACAGCCAAATTTTCATGTCACTAATAGATGTCATTGCTAGATTTTCATGTCACTTACTGATGTCATTGCCGCCATGAGACATGTCAGTGTGACCGACGGAAAAATTTCACGTGACTTTTTTTCCGGCGATTTTTGAAAAAAAAAACAAAAAACAAAAAAAAAACATCAAGAAATTGACGGCTTTTCCAGCGGAGGTTTTCGGCGGCGGATCCAGCCGTGGCTGGGCAGTGTGGGGGGAGGGGGCATAGGGCAGAGATTTGATATAAATTATAATGAAAAAAAGATGAGTTAATTAAACAAAAGGTTAGTAATAAATTATAATGTGTCCTTGTTCCTTATGGTGATAACACACAAATTACTGATTCATACTCCCTCCGTCCAGTTGGAAGATTCCCGTGCATAAATGCCACAGTTTTTAGGCAAGTGGTTAAATAAAGTAGTTTGGGTAAAAAAGATAGGAAAGAGAAAATTTAGAAAAAGTAAACATATAAAGTGAAAGTAATTAAAGGGAGATAAGTTGGGCGAGGGGAAACTGTGAGACTTGACATGTAATGATTAGGAAACATAAATTTGAGTAAGGGTGTAATTAAAGAGAGTAAATTATTTCCTAAAATGGAATGAAAACCTTTAAATGGGACACCCAAATAACTGAAATAAGGAAGGTGAGAACCTTTCAACGGGACGGAGGGAGTATTATTGAATTTATGTTAGTTCAAGTTATCAAGTTAAAAGTAATACATTTTTTTAAGATGAAAGATAAGGCCTCCACTCTCTCCCCTTTCAAATCCCTCCCACAAGCATAGCTACAAGGCTTACAAATTCATTCATGAACACAATATATTCCTATGTATATATGATGTTCTTGGATCCTTACGCGTAAGTGTTGGTATTCCTCCCTGTGGCTTGTAGAGAGAAGCAGTGGAGGCACTTATACAGGAACTTCCTAAGTTCAGGATGAAGGCTGTCCCGACTGACTGCAGCGAATGCCCCATCTGTTTGGAAGAGTTTCATGTTGGAAATGAGGTAAAAGAATCCACCCGTCAATGTGTAGTTAAAAACCAACCAGCAGATAATTGGTTCTTAGTTATTTCGGAGGCTCAATATTGGTAATAACTTCACTTTTAGTGGGGGTGTTTGGTTCACCGACCGTGAGATTATTATACCTTAGGCAGTAGGATTACTACCCTTAGCAAAACGGAAAATGGCACATATAACCTTTAAGAGGGCGTTTTGATTCACGGCATGTGAGATTGCTGTGGGTAATAGGCATTCCGAAATGTGATACTTCTGCTGTCAAGGTATTAATGATAAACTCCTCAACGACCAAGGTATCTTACCATACCTAAGAAAATGGAGGTATTCACATTCTCCTGCTTTAGTAAAAAATGGAAACTTGACGGTAATCTTACACGATCATGCAAAAACATATTTTGCCTGAACCAAACAAACACGGTTATGTTACATACCTAGACTGCACAGGTCATGCAACATTCAGTGAACCGAACGCCCATTAGTCTGTCCTCTCCAGAAGTAGTTTTAATAAATCTTGCACAGGTCCGGGGTCTACCTTGTGCTCACAACTTCCATGTGGAGTGCATCGATGAATGGCTCCGCCTGAATGTAAAATGCCCAAGATGCCGCTGTTCGGTTTTCCCAAATCTAGATCTTAGTGCTTTGTCCGACATCCAGCCCGAACCGGAGAGGCCATCTTCAGCAAACAGTTATGCTCGAACACAAGCAGCACCTTCAACCCACATACTGAGATTGCTCCATCCAGTCAGCTCTGGACATCCTGAGTCTTCACCACCTGCTACTGAACATTCTGGGTCTGTAGAAGTGTAGGTAGTCGCAGCAGAACGTGTTTCGCCTAGGCAATGACCGCTTCCAGTATATTCTAACTACACACTGGCTTTGAGGGGATACCTTTTTTTTGCCTGTTATAGCCTTCTTTGACGGCTTCTACTGCTAATTGTTCATAGTAAATTTAGACTTGCGTGGACTGGAATAATACCCTCACAACTCAAAATCATGTTTCCTTTGGAATGATGTAATGAAGAGTGGATTTTGTTTGAACATGGGAAACAGCCAAACTGAAAATGCAGTGTGAAAATTTCTTGTTTTGGTGTTGACGTGCACGTTAACTTCAAATGGGGAATCAACCATCAAATATTACTTCTTCAGTAATAACAGTTCAAACGAGGGTTGAAACTGCTTGTGCTGTTTTTCTGTGTACAATAAATTGTGTCAAGCCGGAGCTTTTGAATTAATCCCCCTGGAATAGAGGATCAGTCAAGACTTGTGAGTGTTTCGATGACTTCATGTTGTAAATTAGTTTTTTTGTGTGTAAATTACCAAAAGGTGAAATTAATACACCACTAATTCCCACCTTATGCAATTTTACTAAGACAGTCTATACTTGAAACTTTACATTGCTGATTGCATCTTGTTATCC